TACTGTAATCATATGACAAGAAAGCTGAACCTTATAAAATTAAAGTTTAGCTATTTGTCCAGAAGAACAAAATGCTTTTAAGTGGATTTGAATTAGAAGAAGCAGAAGTATGGACAAGTAATTTGGGACCTGATTCTAACCAATGCTATAAAACCAGGATAACTAAGGGAATTATAGAGACTGTGCTAACTTGGGTTAGGGCTTTTTAAAGAATAGTATTTCTTCCTATATATCTTTCTTTTCTTTTTTCTTCCTCCTACTCCTCCCCACCTTCTTCCTACATAAATAATACATGCTTAATATAGAAAACTTGGAAAATTTAGAAATAAAGTGAAATCAGCCCCACATCATTTACTGATAATACCCATTGTATTTGTCATTATGATACTCTCTGTTTTTCTCCCTCATATATATTTGTATGAGTTTTAAATATTAATATAAAGTAGTATTACACTTTCATTTTCTTTTGCTGTCTGATTTTTGTCTTAACTATTTTCTCATATCAATTTATATTAATATTTTATAACATGATGTTTGCTGCATTATATTGTCACAGATACACCTTAATTTACTTACCACTTCCCTGTTCTTGGGCATCCCAATTCCTCTACTATATAAATAATGTTTATAATTAAGTTTTTATATATATCTCTAATACAGTTTCTTGGTATAAATTCCTAGAAGTGAATTGCTGGATCAAAGGGTGAGCATACTATTTTATATACTTTACTTATTACATAATTTCCCAAATTATTTATTTTTTATTATAGTCATTACTTTTTTTCCTACCTTCCCTCATTAAAATATAAGCCCCATGAGGGCAGGGATCTTTGTCTGTTTTACATGCTTAGCACATAGTAGGCCCTCAATACATATTTCTTAAATGAGTAAATGGGTATTTTTTTAGTTTTTAACATACACTGTTAAATGGTCTTCCAGAGAAGCTGTGGCAATTTATACTCTAGTTCCCTCCGATCTCACTTATCCTCAGTATTAGCATAAAATACAAAAAAGATATACACTAAAATCTTGAAAAGAAAATTTAATCCTCCCCTAATTTCGCCTCCCAGAGATAGCTTTAGTGTGTAGCCTCACAGACTTAAAATATGAATTCATTATTATTTTAATTTACTTTTATTACTTGTGTAATTGAGCTTTTAAAAATGATTAATGGGCATTTGTATCTCATTATTACAACTTTTTAAAATTTATTTATTCTTTTTTCCCTTGTGAACTTCTAAGTCACCTAGATTAGGCTTTGGGAACTTTGATATATATGTGAATTATCTGGGGATGTTATTAAAATGCAGATTCTGGCACAGCGGCTCACGCCTGTAATCCGAGCACTTTGGGAGGCTGAGGCCGGAGGACCACTTGAGGCCAGGAGTTTGAGACCAGCCTGGGCAATACAGTGAGACCCCATCTCTACAAAAGTAAAAATTTTAAAAAATGCAGATTCTGATTTAGTAAGTCTGAGAAGGGGCCTGAGATTCTGCATTCCTAACAGACTCAAGTTGATTCTAGTGATGGTCTGGGGACCATAATTTGGGAAACAAGCATCCTAGGTCATATGCCCCTACTGTGAGTTAATCTCCAAGTGAATGACTTCTTGATGGAAAAGACAAAAGAAAATGCAGTCTGCTCACTCAGCCTGCAGTGTACTGTATACTTTTTTTTTTTTAACTCTTATACAACTTTAATTATTTTTATTATTTTATCTTATTTTATTTTTTTAAAGACAGGGCCTTTCTCTGTCACCCAGGCTAGAGTGCACTAGTGTGATCATAGCTCACTACAGTCTTGAATTCCTGCACTCAAGCGATTTTCCTGCCTCAGGCTCCCAAGGTACTGGGATTACAGGTGTGAGACACTGCACCTAGCCCTTATACAACTTTAAAACAAAACAAATTATCTTTCTCCTCGTATAATGAAAATTGAACTATTTTACTTTGTTTACTTAATATAACTATATGAAACTGCTTAGCTTCAAATATTGGTCTAAATGTCTAAGTTCAGAAAGAGTAATACTGAAGCAATTTATAATTTTCTTTATTGGTAGATCAGATGTTTGATTGTCTTCAACCATATATTTTTCTTATAGTCATTTTTTGTTAATGATGCCTAAAAGAAAAAAATACTCTGTTTCTCTCTAGACTCACACAACATTTCTAACACCAAATGTAAGCAATTCTCCAATTCTCAGTGGACACTGATGAGTGTTCTACAATTTAACTCAATTCTGATACTATCTGCTGGGAATTAGCACAGATGCCACAGGTTAAGAGGCCAGTCCTATTAGACTGCCCTTCCACCTGCACCCCTCCTCCCTTCAGATGCCATTTGTAAGTCCAGGTTGTCACCTGTGCTTCGGAGGGGCTGGCTATAAATTGGAGGTTCCCAACACCCCCTCTTCAGGTTCAAAAATTTGTTAGAATGGTTCACAGAACTCAGGAAAACAGTTGCTAGATTACTGGTTTATTATAAAAGAATATAACTCAGGAACAGCCAAATGGAAGAGACGGCATAGGGCAAGGCATGGGGGTGGGCATGGAGCTTCCATGCCCTCTTCAGGAACATACCACTTTCCCAGCATCTCCATGTGTTCACCAACCTGGAAGCTCTCTCAACCCCTTTAGTTAGGGTTTTTATGGAGGCTTTATGCAGGCATGACTGATTAATCATTGGCCATTGGTGATTGATTCAACCTGCAGCCCCTCTTCCCCTCCCCAGAAGGAAGGAGGGTGGTGTGAGGCTGAAACTTATAACCCTCTAAACTTATGACATGGTTAGTCCTCCTGGCAACCAGCCCCTATCCTTAAGGGCTTTCCCCAAAAGTTGCCTCATTAACATAAACTCTGGTGTGGTTAAAAAGGGCTTGTTATGAATAACAAAAGACACACATTTTAGTTGTCACTCCAGAGCTGTTTCAGGACCCAGGGACAAATATTATAATAAAAGATGCTCCTGTCACTGTTATCACTTAAAACATTATAAGGATTTTAGGAGCTCTGACCAGGAGCTGGGGATGAAGACCAAAATGTATATTTCTTATTATATCCCAATATCACAGATGCCATTTCCATTTTTTTAAATGAGGCCATTAAAACATTTTAACGGAAGCTGTATCCATGTATCTATTTCACATTAACATCTATTTCTCTGCAGGCCCGGGTCCTTTTTGTGCTGATTGTGCTGATCCAGCTCACCATTCTTTTTATTTTTAGATATCAAGGATGCTCAGAGCTTAAAGGTCAGTTATGGTTCCTTTTATTCTTACAAGACTTTATTTTAAAGTATCACGTAACATCCTCACTATTATCAAGTAATAAATAGCAATGTAAATTTTCTTTGCATTAGCTCTGTGAGGTGCATCCTTCACACTGTCATACTTTTTCCACAACTCTTACCTTGAAAAAAAAATTCCAAATTTTACTGCTACATGGCAGTTAAATGAAGCTCGACGAAAATGGGAGGGGATCACAATATAGCACAAAATGACCAACTTTAAATATAAGTAGCTATTTAATGCAATTTTTATATATAAAATAGACAAGAACCTATTGATTCAAATAATTAAAGATAAAGCTCTAAACAAAGCTTGACAAAACTTAAATAGTGCATATATAAATTTTGAATAACATATACAGAGTAGGCTATACAAAAGTTGTAAAGAAGGTGACTTTGCCTGTGGTGCTTCTGTCAACCAAAAAAAAAAAGACATCAGAGAAAAATAGCTCCTAATATGATGAGTTTATTTGGGAGTAAGCAAAAAGGATTATAATCTGGGAAGCACAATTATGGCAAGCCATAGGTACATCTGAACAGGGGAGGGTAAAGGGATGCTTTTATTGGCAATAAGGAGAATTTCATGTAAGCTGCTTAGAAACAGAGTTCATTGGTTTTGGAGACTCAAAGCGAGAGTTGGCATCAGTTTATTGGTGGAGATGCCATTACTGGGCAAAGTTCAATATCTCTCTTTTATAAGCCTTTGAGATGTTCTCAGGCCTTTTGAAACATCCCAAAGTTAGTTCGAGGTCAAAAACAACTTAATTTAGAACTTGATCCTGGGGAAGCCTGCCAAAGATGTCAAAAGGTTTAAAACGCTTGATCAAAATACGATCACATGTCATTGTGAAATTATCTCGATAAAATATAAAATCTAGTCAAAAATGTATGCCGACAATTCTGAAGACATTTCTATTTTTATTTTATCAACAAATTTAAAATCAGCATATTTATGAAAGCTTTATTTAAGTCATGAAATAAAAGGCATTTGGGTTAATCACGCTATTTTGGTAGAAAAATATCATATACATAGACATAAAAACATGCAGGTGAACAAAAACAAATATAGTTTTTATTTTTAAAAATTTAGTCATTTTTCAGGAAACTTCAGTCTCCTTAAGGCCAACATACTATTAAAATCCATTAATTCTTTCTTCAAATGTTTCTTTTCCTTTTGAAGGGTCACCAATGCCAAGTCAATAACACCTCTCTGGATTCCTGAATAGGAATCCTACTCTGCTGCTCCTACATCCAATCTCTCCAACCAATCCATCTTCTTCATCATTAACCAATTATTCTTCCTTTGGCATCTTATCCATAAGATCACTTCTGTGCTCAAAGTTGGCTTCAACTTTATTTAGTAGCTTCCCAGAACCCACTGAATAAAGATCGGACATCTCTGCCAGACATTAAAGATCCTCCACAATTTTGTCTTAACTAGCCATGTCTTAAACCAGTTACCTGTATTTTAGCCTAGATACTTTTTCACAGTTCCCTATACATACCATGCTCATTTCTGCTTCTGTGCTTTTGCCCATAGTATTATCCTTACTTTAATTTATTTTTCTAAACTTACCTAAATCTTAGCCTTCTGGAAGGCTCACCTTAAGCCCTCATTTTCCATACCATTTTCTCCATCCATTCCAGGTTATAATGAGCTCTTGCTTGTTTGAATCCCTTTAGTCATTCTGACAATTAATTGTATACTTAATTAGCCAGTCACTTTGCTTTATGTAACTATTTCAAATGTATATACATTTTCTCCTTAACTAGATTATAAATTCCTCAATGTAGGAACTTATGTTTTCTGCTTTTCTGTTTCCCATAGCAACCAGCACTGAGTTTATGCATAATAGAGAATAAATACTTGTTGAATTAAATTTTCCTTATCCCTTCTTAACTTGGATGAAATCTCTGGGATCAGGAACTTATGGTGGGAAAGGGAAAAATTACAGTAATTATTACACAGTAACATGATTAACTGAATAGGTACGTACACATCCTACGGAATGATTTCTTGCTTATGTTTCTTTTTTAAAATTCTATGAGAAAGTTCAAGAAGCATTATTGTACATGTACATTTTCCTCCATATAATGTAAATAAATAAATGGTTGAGGGCCCCCAGCCTCATTATATGGGGATACCAATATCTTTGTTTAGTTATTTAAATTTAAAACATATTTTTATCTACAGTGTTTCATTTAGTCCTTACAACAATCCTATGAGGTCGGTATTATTATACTCATTTTAAAGATTAGCGAAATCAAGGTGTCAGCTGGGCAAAAAATAAAATAATAATAATAGAAAAATTGGAATACTAAGGCTTGGGGAAATTAGGTTGTCCAAAGTCTCATAGCTAGTAAGCGATAGAGGAGAAACTCCAAACCCAAGTCTTCCAACTGCAATTAAGTTCTTTCCTCTAAATAAGACTTACCAACTTTGGCTTCAACTTAGAAGCTTCTGGGGAACCTTAAAATCTCAGTGACACCTTTTGTAACAACCTCGATGGAACTGGAGATCATTCTTCTAAGTGAAGTATCACAAGAATGGAAAAACAAACACCACACGTACTCAGTATTAAACTGGAACTAATCGATCAACACTTACATGCACATATGGAAGTAAAACTCAGCAGAAATCAAGCAGGTGGGGGAGGAAGGGTTGGGTGAATTCACACCTGACGGGTACAATGCACACTGTTTGGGTGGTGGGCATACTTATAACATTGACTCAAACTGTACAAAAGCAAGACATATAACCAAAACATTTGTACCCCTGTAATATTCTGAAATTTAAAAAAAACCTCAGTGGTTATAACAGCATTCTAGACCAATTATATTAGAATCTCTAGGGAGGGACTTAAACATCAGTATTTTTTAAAGCTCCCCAGATGATTCCAATGTGCAGTCAAGACTGAGAAGCATAGCTCTATGTAAAGCAATATTTCTTTCTTTTTTTTTTTTTTTTTTTGAGACAGAGTCTCACTCTTTTGCCCGGGCTAGAGTAAGTGCTGTGGCATCAGCCTAGCTCACAGCAACCTCAAACTCCTGGGCTCAAGTGATCCTACTGCCTCAGCCTCCCGAGTAGCTGGGACTATAGGCATGTGCCACCATGCCCGGCTAATTTTTTCTATATATTTTTAGTTGTCCAATTAATTTCTTTCTATTTTTAGTAGAGACGGGGTCTTGCTCTTGCTCAGGCTGGTCTCGAACTCCTGAGCTCAAACAATCCGCCCGCCTCGGCCTCCCAGAGTACTAGGATTACAGGCGTGAGCCACCGCGCCCGGCCTAAAGCAATATTTCTTAATCTTGATTACTTAGAATCACCATGTTACTGCCTACACTCCCCCTCTACACCAGGCCAGTTAAATCAGAATCTCTGGAGGGTGATATCTGGGTATGGATATTTTCTAAAAGTTCCCCTAGGTTATTCTAATGTGCAGCCAAAGTGGAGAATCATTGCTGAAAGTTTAAAGAATAGTTGCCTCTAAGGCTAAAGGATGATTTTTTAAATAGTAAATAATCGTTAGTCCAGCTGGACATAAATATATACACACACACATATATACATAATGTCTCACAACTACACCATTTCTTTGAACTTCCTACCTCCTGCAATTCTAAGTGAATTGGCTCACCAGGATTCCTGCCAAATTCTGAATTAAAAGTGGAGTCATCTGTATAGTTACCATATAGCAAAGGATCTGCTGAATATTTGGTAGATAGCTTATGAAAGTCTTCTAGAAAATGTCATAAAGAAATTGAATTTTGCGTGTGTTTTGAATTTTGCATGACTGGATTTTTTAAAATTTATTCTGTTTAGAACCTTCAGGATTTGTAAATCTGACTTCATTTTCCCTTCACGTCTTGAGCAAAATAAACACCTTCTACTATTCTGTGTTGTTGCTGACCCTATATACAGTGCTGGGTAAGTAAATTAGTAAACTCGAGATTGTGGAGAATTCTGCCAAATAATATATTGAGAATTTTGACAATAGAATAATTTAGAATCTTGAGGCTATAACAAATGGCACAAGGATCCTTCATAAGGGGACATGGCTTTGGGAAATAAAGTTCTTTCCTAACATGTTTAAAGAACATTTAGTTGACACCAGGTTAACTTAAGGGTGCTGAGAAGACTATTAAAGAATTAGTATTTGTGTAGAAACCTAATAGAAGATAGAAGTTCAGCTTGAATGCCACCTCCTCAAAGCAACCTTCTTTGACTACCTTAAAGTTTTATCCTGTATTTGATCACACTTCCTATTTTCCATCATTACCTTTATTATAATTTATAATTATCTTCTGTGTTTGTTATCTATTTCTTCATTAAAACATCCATTGCTAGCAGGGCGAGGTGGCATACACCTGTATTCAGTGACTAAGGCCAGAGTATTGCTTGAGCCCAGGAGTCCGAGTGCAGCCTGGGAAACATGGCAAGATCCCTGTCTCAGAAAAATAAAATCCAATGGTGTTTTGTCTGTCTTGTTCACCTCTATGTCTAGCACTAAACAAATGCTTAGTATGTAGTTCATTGAATATTTACTAATGTGTGGCTCTTAAAAACTCAGCTCAAAAAAGAGAGAAACGCAGATGAGCAATAAGTTCAGGCATATCTTAACTCTTCTGTTGTATTAATTCCACATAAAGGCATTTAGGTCAATGACGGACCACATATACAACAGTGGTCCCATAAGATTATAGTGGAGTGGGACGTTTGCAGTTGGCTGTATACCATTTAGGTTTGTGTAAGTGCACTCTGTGATGTTCACACAAGGACAAAATTGTCTAATGACACATTTCTCAGAAAGTATCCCCACCGTTAAGTGATGCATGACTGTACTTACAGACACTTAGCCACTTATGGAAGCAGAAATCATTACAAGTCTCTTTTAGGATTTTTTGCTCATGTTTCTTAGTGACTAAAAGTCAATTCGTAGTAGATTAACCTATTTGTTGCCTAGTCTTATCTTTGTCTTACACTTTTATTCTACCTTTGCACTTTGCTCATTAGTAATTCCCACCAGAGAACAAGTTAAAAATATGACACTTTACAATTCTGTGTAAGCTATGGCAGATCCCCTTTGGAGGCAGATTCTCTTGTGAGAAGATAAGCTGAAGCTGTTTTTGACACTTGTCTTACGCTAGGAGGCAAAGAAAGTGATTTGGGTCCTGGGCTGTAAAAAACAAAACAAAACAAAAAACATTAAGAGGGCAGAAGTTACTTGATTTGAAAAGTTGAAATCTGAAGGGAAAACACTTTTTTAGACTAACATGTCTTTAATGGAATTTATAGAATGTAAATCTGAGAAAATCGCCTATGATTTCTTAAAGCTAAACCCTACTCTTGCCAGCAACTTGCATTTTGAGAAGGCAAGTCTGACTGTCCTTTATCACTCTTGACAAACACTTGACACTCTTACAGAAACCTGCACACTGAGCAGAGGTGGTAAATGAGGAGAGAAAATAGAGAGTGATTATGTAGTTGATGTACAAAGTAATGACTGTGGGTCAAGAGCAGGGTAAAATACATTCATTATATTAATAAGAATGCACTTGAGTGCATTTTAGAAAGATTTCTATCAAAAAGTAGTTGAAGTTTTATTGCTTTAAGGAGTCCTCTGGAAAATATCAGTCATCTGGAAAATTAACTTCTGTGGAATACCTCTTTGCTTCTTAAAGGAAATGTTAATATATTGAGATTATTATTGCAACAGAATCTTAAAAATGTAATGCGCTCCCATTTGTTCTTAGAATCTATAAGTTATATATCTATTTCAGGTAGAGTGTGTACTATGATGATTTTATAATTCAGAAAAATATGGAGCAAAGGAGCAAATAATTGGCTAGCTAGGATATCAGGTACAATATAGAGATTAGCGAAGAAGAAAAGCTATGAAATAAAATGCCTACAGATGACTAGCCTCATATCACTTCATTATTCCTATAAATGTATCTCATGATGTATGTAATCAGAGTCATAGTGTCATAGTTATTTAATCTTCTCCTTTTCTGTCCACTGCCTCTTTTAGGACCATGGTTTTTTGGTGAAATCATTGATGGTAAATTGGGTTGCTGCTTTTCCTTTGGGATATTTGTTAATGGACATTTCCTACAAGGCAGCCTAACATTTATAGCTGGAATTCTCCAGGTAAGAAGTCAGAAATGCAACTTAAGAACATCTTGGCCTCGTTGGACTAATTGCATAACAGTTATGAATTAAATCCAAAATCCCAAATTAAATACCATAGATCATCTTTTCTACTTTATTTACAGAGCAGTCTTTAATAACTGATGTTTCATTGGCTTTTAAAGTGTTTCCTAAATTCCTTCTTCCACCATTCTTATGTAAATGAAGTACAATTTTGGCATGCAGGGTTTATAAGAAGTGAAAGAGATTTTGTTGTTGTTTTGTTTTATTGTGCTTTTTCATTGACAAAAAAATGGAATAAGGGATTTATGGTAGAATAAATGTTAGACTTCTGAGTAAATCAAAACTGATTATGATAATGAAGAAGGAAAATGTTTCAGAGGGAGGAAAACAAAAAATAGACACACAAGAAAAGTGGGTCAGTTATGCAGTGGAAACTGCACTAGTCAAAAACCAGACCTGGGTTTTCCAGTGATGTCTTAGGAGTATGCTTGGTTAGGAAACATTGATGTATTAGGTTTACATGTGATTTATTTAAAACAAACACACAAAGAATCCTGATCCATAGCAAAACACCATAAACAGATTTGAAAAGTATTTACCTAACAATTTCTTTATTTTACTCACCTAATGGGGCTAGTGGACTAAAATCTGAGGTCATAATTTGAAGTTTTGGAAGCGAGCCAAAAATGTTGTTCAAAATGAGTTCAAGGCCTCCTAAAAGTTGATCCAGCAGGATTAGGGACAACTAAGTAGGGACGACCTTTGCCTAGCAAACACTGACTCAAGCCCAGAACATTCTCTGCATAGCAGCATATGGTTGTGAGTAGGTCCAGTTCAGTTTTCTATTATGTAGA